CTGGTCCCACGTGTAATTTTTAAATAAATCTGTTCCTTTCATTTTACTAGTTATGCAATTTGAAACTATGACTTTCTTTTGGTATCCTTGCTCTATTATGGTGGAAAAAACATTTCTACCAAAATTAGGTTCCTATCCATTTCTACTTTTATATATATTTTTTGTTTAAATTACTTAACACACTGGGACCAGCAGATGGCATAATGGCTATGTCACTGGACTCCCATGTAGTCGAATGCAGTTTGAGTCCCCGACCCAGCAGCTTAAAACTCACACCAGGTGCATGTGCGTGTGTACCTCAAATCCCCAGAGGAGGATGGAGCAGAAGGGATTCTGGTGTGGCCATCTTCCCTGGGGGCTGACTTCTCACTCTCTGTCTCATCTTTTTTGCACCCTGTAGCAAAAAAACTCTCTTCAAAACAACAACAACAAAAAATTACATAAAGCCAATATTTTTTTTCATGATTTATTTTGCTTTATCATTGCCATTACTGGTCCCTCAATACATTTAAAAAATCTACTTTTTCAGATCAAACTTAAAGTTTCAGCCTTTTTTGCATATGTAGCAAGAAGTATGTATAGGCAGCTTATAGAAATTCTTTTTAACTTCATCCATTTCTTTCCTGAGCGAGTGGGAGGTACCCCAACAGGGCCCTTACACCATCGCCTGCCCCAGCCAGCCAGGATCACAGGCACGCACACTCACAGCCAGAGTTTACAAGGAGGACTCAGGACGTGAACACAGGACCTTCCCATGTCGATTCCGCGATGTGGAGCCTCACCATGACCGTGCTACCGTGAACGGCCAAAATGTAATCTCTTGGTTGGACTTAAATCATTTGCTTTAAATAAACTAGACATTATTTCATCTAGGTCTTAAAACTACAAAATGCTGTGTTTCTATTTATAATTATATTCCCAACACCAATTACTTGAGTGTTCTCCAGCATTTCAGAAGGCATCACGGGCACAGAGCCCAGGAGGGAAGGCACTGCTGCTTCCCTCATCTGCTCTCGAACTGCGGTGGAGCAAGCTCAGTACCTGGGCACGGATCTCCAGGGCTGGACTAGTGACACTTTAGGGGGGCAAATACTTTGTAAATGATAACAGCTGTGCTGGGTTGACTGAGAACACTGTGGTACTCCATTCTATTATTCCCTGGGAACCTCGGGAAATTGGCTAGCCTACAAGAACAGGATTTTGGCCAAACTCTATCACTTAAATACCTCCATAATTCTTTTTTTTAAAGGTTTTTGCCATAGGGCACATGTGCTCGCTGGAGAGAGATGATAGAGAGGAAATGTGAGAAATCACCACCCCTCTCCCCCGAAGGAAGATGGTCATGCCGCAATCTCTTTTCCTCCATTCTCCTCTTGAGATTTCGGATACGCACACACAGGTACCTGGCATGATTTTCAAGCTGCCATGTCTGGGACTCGACCCACAGTTGACCGTGTGGGAGTCCAATGCCTTAACCACCACACCACCTGCTGGTGCCTATAAGTCCTCTTAACCAAATAAGTCCTTTTAATCAAGCACCCACTATAAAATCGTCATGACATCATTTGGTCAACAGTTCAAAAAATTTTTCACATTTACACAAAAATTTAATATGAACAGGTATTCAACTATAAGTACGTATACATAACGCCTTATCAAAACTATTTTAGGCTGGGACCAGCAGTTAGAGTAATGACTATGTCATTGGACTCCCATGTAGTCGACCGCAGTTTGAGTCCCGGACCCGGTGGCTTAAACTCACACCAGGCGCATGTGCATGTGTGTCCAAGATCCGAGAGGAGAATGGAGGAGAAGGGATTGTGACATGGCCATTCCCCTATATATATATATATATATATATGGCTCAGCTGTGGTCACATAAACTGCTAAGAAACTGCTGCTCAGAGTTTTGGGACCAATATGGTCCAGTTCCCAACCTAAAACAGGCCAGGCACAGTGGGCTGCCTATAAGCCTAGCTTATTGGGAGGCTGGGGCAGGAAGGTCCTGACATGGTGAGACCATCAAAAAAACAAACAAGGGGGAACCAGCAGTGAGCGTAATGGCTATGTCGCTGGACTCCCACGTAGTCGACCGCGGTTCGTGTCCCAGACCCGGTGGCTTAAAACTCACGCCGGGCGCGTGTGCGTGCGTGCCCAAGATCCCGAGAGGAGAATGGAGGAGAGGGGATTGTGGCGTGACCATCCCCCCGGGGGGTGATTTCTCGCTTTCTGTCTCTAATGTCTCTCTCTGTCTCTCTGGCGAGCGCACGCGCCCTACAGTGAAAATCTCTCCAAAAAAAAAAAAAAACAAAAAACAAACAAACAAGGGGCTGGCCCCATAGCCTAGTGGTTAAGAGAGCCAGATTCAACATGGTGGACTCCTGGATCCAGAAGCTTGAAAAACAGGTCACATGCATGTGCACGCATGCCCCCAGACCTCAACAAGCTGGAGGAATAGAGGAGAAGAGACTGCAATATGACCATGCCCCATTAGGGGATGCTCCTCTCATTCTCTCTCTGTTTCTCTCCCTCTTTACCTCCTTTTCCTGCTCTGGCAAACACACATGCCTTCTGACAACTTTAAAAAAAACAAAACAAAACAAAACAAAAATCGCCAGGGCTACCCCATAATGCAGCAGTTAGACACAGGGCAGAGGAAGCTGCATCCCCCGTGGCTGACACGGGTTCAAGCCCTGGACCAGTTGGCTTCATAAGTACCCAAGATTCTGATGGTATGGAAGATTAGAGGGAAAAGACTGTGGCATGACCAGGCACTGCTGGAGGGGGGAAGGGGATTTTCTCACTCTCTGTTCTCATTCACAGGCATGAGTGCTCTGGCATAAAAACAAACAAATCTCTCAAGCACATACACAGACTTTAAAACTATCTCATTTAAAGATTTACTTATAAATGGATATGAATTATGAAGTCCTGGGACCAGCAGTTAGCATAATGGCTATGTTGCTGGACTCCCATGTAGTCGATCGCGGTTTGAGTCCCGGACCCGGTGGCTTAAACTCATGCCAGGCGCATGTGTGTGCGTGCCCAAAATCCCGAGAGGAGAATGGAGGAGAAAGGATTGCGGCATGGCCATCCCCCCATGGGGTGATTTCTCGCTTTCTATCTCTGTCTCTCTCTGTCTTTCTGGCGAGCGCACATACCCTATGGCAAAAACCTCTCCAAAAAAAAAAAAAAAAGAATTATGAAGTCTCTTTTCTATGAGATGTAATTTTTGACCCATGGCTTTCTTGTATACAAACAGAGCAGTACAGTATTGCACCTTTATTAACTCTGACCTTACAGACAACTGAAAACCAGAGTTCCTGATGCTACTTCTGAAATCCTCGAGTTCTTCTAAACAGCAGTCTTTATTTCAATTCGAAGCTTCTCTAGGTGGAAAGAATATTTACCTCTAGCTTTAATGAGAAACATGAGTGCTTTGTTTCCTCATGCAGTAAATAAAATAAATGCCCCGTGGCACCCTCACGGTTTCAAGCTTGCTATCTCCAGAGAACAAATAAAAACAACTGAATAGCCTACGGTTCGTAGAAGAACTGGGCACTGACTTAATAAACCTGCTAACAGAAGTTTCTAGCAAAACTGTAAGCACGTGGCATGTAATTAATCATAGCATTGTGTATATTTCTAACTAATTCCTGCTTCCGGACACCATACGACATCCCCAGCAAGGGGTCATACATGAACACGGCATTTTCCAGAGTTTCTGACATCTATACATCTGATGAGAGTTATTTTCACATAGAATACTTTTTTGAAAATTTTGCAAGAGGGCCACGCACTTGCCAGAGACAGAAAGAGAGAGCAAGAGGGAGAATGAGTATGGTCATGCTGCAAACCCTCCTCCTCCATTTCTCCCTCCTTTCAGGATTTTGGGCATGCACTCACGCATGTGTGCATATGCGCATTCTCTCTCTCTCTCTCCTGGCATCTTTTTCAAGCTACTAGAAGCTACTGGGTCCAGGCTTTGAACTGTGTGGCTGGCCATGTGGAATCCAGCTACCTTAACCACCATGCCACCAGCTGATCCAGGAAAGCCTTAATTCATTTAGATACCTGAGACCCTGCAGAACTCATGTAAATTACAGGGCCCATCAAGTACTAATGATATTCTCACCATGACACCTCCAATTCATACCCAGTAAGTAACAAGAAATACGAGGACGCTTAAGGGGCTAATATTCTAATACTCAGATTTCTACAAAAAGCAATTCTTCAAGCAAGAGGCACAAGAAGTCGATAAAATCAGCATTTTACACATTAGAGCACCCATGGGCCTCTGCACCAATGACAGTGGTCCACCAAGTGAAAGTGATTTAACTAGGCCTCCTGACAACTCAAGCGCCGAGACCCCACAGAGACAGGTCAGAATACACTGACCCTGCCACCCCAGACGGTGGACCTCGGAACTGTGAGAACGACTTCACCACCATCGTCATGAGAAGCTGTCATGATTATACTAGTTCCTCCACGCAATCGTCTGGTTAGTAACAGCATCAACAATATATGAATAGGTTAATTATTTTGATGGTGTTCCTGGAAGCGATACTAAGATATCTTTTGAAGTTGTATAATACCAAGTACCAAAAAGGAATAGAAAAAAGAAAAGATGACAAAAAGAGAACCCAAGGAACTCCTGACATTTACATTTTAAATGCCCACTGAGATCTGGACGTATACTGGTCCTTCCCCAAACCCTTCAAAAACACAAACAGTCGAATCCCCCGTTCTTCATTTGACTCAGTATCTCAGCAGTCCCTACGTGCCTGTCAGCACTGGAAATTAAAGTAGCTAATGCCATTGCTTTCTATTTGCATTATTTCACAGGGATGAGAACAGGGAGATGAAGTTCTCCCCGGTACAGCGTGACCCTTTATCCAGGGGCTCAGTGTGTGAACTGACACCCATTCACCTCCACCAGGCCTCCTCCGAACCGGAGGTGTGTACTCACTGAGAGAGAACAACTATCGAGTAATTCTGACCTGCAGAATGAGAACGAAGTAGTCTACAGGTTTGTTTCGCTGGTAGAGGTAGTATTCTGGGGCTTTCTTGTTCTTCTCATCATACTTCAGCTCCTGGATGACATTGGGGTGCTTTAGCAGCCTTAGAAGAATCTTCTCTGACATCTGGGATGGGCTAAATGCTTCTACTTCTATAGATATAAACAAACTTGATATTACACTTCAGATGGATGGAAAAGTTACACTAGAATGAAAGTACTTCGATCGTGAGAAGACTTGGAGTCACAGTGATACGGTATGGATGAATGAGGCTTCGGCATGGCGGTCCACTGGGGGCAGATTACCTGAGAGAAATTAGAAAATGCTCAATTCTCATATTTGTTCCTTTCGAACCTGTCATGGATTTCAGTTGTCATGAAAGTTGACTGGTCGAAGTGGAAGTCAACCAGAAGCAGGCTCCTGGAGTGCCAGGATGCCTCTCAACAAGCCACAACCGTCTGACTGTCCAACCACAGCCCAAGGAAGCAGCGAATCGGATCAGGAAGCGTCTAGGCGGGTTAGTACCGGGTGCACAGACACAGGTGCTCACACCTCGCTCTCCCCCTCGACCGCCCTGAGAAACTGACATGGGAGGGAGAGACTTGGAAGGAAAGCCAGGCACGTGCACACATCAACATGCACTCCGACTTGCTCGTTTCGAAAAAAGGTCATGTCGATCGGCGTTTACCAAGAGAGCCGTTGTACTTCAAATAACCAAAACCCAAACGACTGACCAGGGTGCTACTCGGGACCTGGGCTTCGTGATACAGCATTTCAGAGGCAGAGTAGGAGGACGTCTAGTTTTAATTTATGGTTCTAAAATGGTGAAGAACAATAGTATCAGAATCCGAAAAGGAATCATCGGATCAAAGGATTTTAAAAAATTTTTAAATAGTCATCTATGAAAGCTCTAAAGCTATATACTGGCTCCTGTGACTTTTGGTAAAAATAAAATAATACATTGCAGAAGTTTTAGAAAATACAGGAGAAGATAAAGAAGAAAACAAAAACGATGTGTCAACTAGTTGCTCAGATAACCGTCCTGAATCTGGTGGGCGTTTCTCTCCAGGGCCTTGCTGTGGGGCGGGGGTGGGGGGGGTGGAGGGGTGGTGGTTATGTGTGTATACACACAAGACACAACTATGATCTTAATGTACACACAGTTTTATAAGCTGTTTTTCCCACTTGACATTTAATTATGGATAGATCCCCATGATACGGATATTATATTGTTAGCATTCTCATGTATCTGAAAACAGTCAAGTGTTTGCTATCGGCCTTCTTTTCAAAATACTTTCAGTTCACTGAATGCAGCTATAGACACTGGCTACCCATCTTGGGCACAGGCCGCTGGGACTTGTAGACTTTCTCTCACTTTCCCTGGCCAACAGAGCTCACCCTTCACCTAGACAGCCATGTGGGGAGGTGAGAAGGGTTAGTCACTCCCTTAAGTCCATTCAACCCTGACCTCCCTGGAGCAGTCAGTGCCAGCTGGGTGGGTGGTTTTATTAATGTGAACATTTGCCTCCTGGAACAGGCCCAAGTTAATCTGATTTGAAGGGGCCATCAAGAAATCCACGTTAAAGGTCTTAGAATGTCTGATTTCATGAAAATCGGAAAAGACAAAGATGTCATTCTGAACACCTACGTTTCTTCTTTGCAAATCACAGCACCTGTGTTACCACTGCGGTACAGCTGTCCTTCCAAGGCCAGCTGAAGGGAAAATGACTCAACTGTCCAGCCAAAGGAGCTGGGGCCTTGGCCTGCCCTGTAGCCTGCCCCGCCAGCTGCTCTCCCAGGGGTGCAGCGGGGCGGGGATGAGCTGGCCTATGGACACATGCAGTGTGGCACTGACATTCGTCCTTACCTTTCAGACCAATTTTAAGTTACTGGTCCACCCCTGGTAAATGTCTCAGAGGGTTCATGCCGACACTGAACACAGGAGAGGAGAGAATTTAAAAAGAAAAGGAAAAAGAAAAACAAAAACAAAACACGAAAGTGGCATTACTTATCACCCCATTTCCCGGTCTCCACCCCCAGCCCACCCCGCCAGTGGTGGGTGAGAAGCCAGCTCCAGGGCTGCTGGAGATTTCAAGCTGTGACAAGCTGCACTTGCCTGTTGCTAGGAAACGGTGCATGGCCAGGAGAAGTTGTGGGGATATTTTCACCTTCATCTCGCTGTCTGTCTGCTTAAAGGCAGAAAAGTCTTGTTTTCTTTCACGGTGGGCCACTTTCTTTTTTGTTCTGTTATCAGCTGAGCGAGGCATGAAGAAAGAAAAAAGGACATGCATTCCATTAGACCAGAGCTGTTTTCGAATGAAAAGGACAAAGTCTGCTAGAAAGGCTAGACCTCTACCTGCACAGACCACATGGCGGGAGGAAGGGACAGGGATCCCATCCGATCAGCACAGCAGCTCGGTCCTGACAACCCTAAGTCCATAACAGCACGAAACCCGATCTGGAAACGTACTTCAGGAGGATCTCTGGGGGTCTCAGGAGACCATGACTGGGCAGAGCGGGACAGAACCTTCCCAGACACACGGCACAGCCTGGCTAGCCTGAAACACACAGCCGCTGCTCTTCAGCCTCACCACAGTCTAGTGAAGAAACGCCGCCATGCCACACACACCAGGAAGTGTGTCCTTACCTCCAAGGGGCTGCCAGCCTCAGCTGAAAGAAAACAGCACACAAACCAACAGCCTCCTTTTAACTCTTTTAATATAGCACGTGCGCTCACTGGAGCGAGACAGAGACAGTGAGAAGGAAAATGAGAAGAAGGGTGGCCAAGCTGCAATTACCTGCTCCTCCATTCTCCTCTCAGGACTCTGGGCACCTGCACACACATGTGTATGCACACACACATGCACACACACACACACAGACACGTGTGCCCAGCATGATTTTCAAGACACAGGGTCCAGGACTTGAACTGTGGTTGGCCATATGGGAATCCAGCTCCTTACCCCCTATGCCACCTGCTGGCCCCACAAACAAAACCCCTTAAAGAAATAAACAAGAATGCTTTCACCGAACAATATTTTATATAGCTGTTTGATTCATTTCTACCGCAGACCACGAGATCCTCAAGGTTAAAGCCAGTCTGCCTAAGGTGAGCCAGGACAGGGCTGACAAACTTCCTCCTTAAAGGGCCAGAGAGTAAATATCTTAGGCTCCGTGAGCGAGTCTCTGCTGCGAGTACTTGGAGCTGCTGCTGAGCAAAAGCAGCCACGCGTAAACGACTGAGCATGGCTGCCTTCCAGTAAAGCCTGACCTGTGGACACGGAAATCCGAACTTGTGATCATTTTTACGTGTCACAAGGTAATTATCCTTCTTTTGATTTTTTTTTCCCCAACAATTAAAAATTGTGAAAAACCATCCTTAGCTTGCTGGCCATAGAAAAGCAGGTGGCAGGCCAGGCGCTATGGTTATTCTAGAAGCCGTCTTAGGTAAAACCATTGTTTTCAAGCATTTTTCTGGACAAGGTAATAACCAAGAAAACAAGCTTAAAGACAAGGTCCCAAACACTTGCTCCTTTTCCAAGAATCAGTGCATTACCCTTTCCTGCCTCAGGCCAAACAGATCCATCACTAGGCTTTTTCCAGAAGGCAATCACAGCTTACGGTTTTCTCCCTCTCACGCTCTTCTGAGAACCAGTGTAAATCAATACCAAATTTAAAAATAATTTTCCAGTGGCGACAGCTATCGTCATCCTCAACAGTCCATCCGAATCAAGAATATTCCTAAAGACACACGCTCAGCATTTTATACCAGTTCAAGTTGCATTAGGCAACGCTCCTGTACGTGGTCAGTGTGGTCAAGGTTTAAAAGAAGTTAAACACATATACAAAACTGAAGTGCAAACATAAGATCTCGTAAATGTTCAATTGTCTTTTTTTGAAAAAAAGAGATTTTTACACACAGGTTCGTCAGAGAGAAAAACCAAGAAATCACTCCCCAGGGGGGATGGTCACACTGTAACCCCTTCCTCCGTTCTCCTCTTGGGGTTTTTGGGCACGCATGCACTGGGTCTGGGACTCGCACCATGGCGGCCTGTGGGAGTTCAGTGACATAACCATTATGCCATCTGCTGGTCCTTCAGTTGTCTTTTTTTCTTATTATTAAAGAATTATTTATTCATTCATTTATTTTTAATTTGACCAGAGAGACCCCCCCCCCCCCACACACACACACACAGAGGGAAAGTGAGAAAGCAAGTCACCAGGTCCAGGACTCGAACCAATGTCAGCCATGTGGGAGTGTCCAGCGTCTTAACCACCACACCACCTGCTGCCCCCATCAACTCTTTTAATAGTGAGTGCTACCTCTGCAAGAATGTCGACAATAAAGAATGTCCAATCACAATATTCTCTGTTACCAGACCTCTGACTACCTTCCAGGTGCCAAAAGGATACAACAGATACAGGAAAGGGTATTTTTTGAGGATGTACACATGTGAGGAAAAAACATTATTTTCAGAAGACAATCATTAGCAAAATAGAAAGTTGATTCCTTAAGGTTGCACGGAAGATTTTCTCAATTTTAAAATGATTCCCAGCTAGCAGGACTGAATGAAATCACAGCTTTGTCCTGGGCACCCCAGCCCACCGGAACAGTTCATTCCCCTCCAACCCATGTTTTAAAGCCACCCCCAAGCGCCACAAACATCTCGGGCTCTGTGCCATCTTTGGCATTAGAAAACCTCTGAAAGAGTCTTAACTGGGACCAGCAGTTAGCGTAATGGCTATGTCGCCAAACTCCCATATAGTCGACCGCGGTTCACGTCCTGGACCCGGTGGCTTAAACTCACTCCAGGCGCATGTGCATGCATGCCCAAGATCCTGAGAGGAGAATGGAGAAGGGATTGTGGCGTGGCCATCCCCCTGGGGGGTGTTTTCTCATTTGTCATCTCTCTGTCTCTCTGGTGAGTGCACATGCCCTATACCAAAAACCTCTCCAAAAAAAAAAAAAAAGAGTCTTAATTGTCAGGAGGGGGCTGAGTTTGAAGAAGGTTTATGCTCCACAGCCTGCCAGGTCAGCTGCACACATGAACAAGACAGGATTCAGGTTCAGCTCTCAGCTCAGGAACAAGACTGCCCAGGCATCTGAGGCCTGGATACTTGTCTCCCGCTGCCTGACCCAAACCACTCCCACTCCACACTTCCCCCCAAAAGCCAGAGAAACAGAAGAGTAAAAAACAACTGTTGAGACCAGCAGGTGACATAGTGGTTAAGGTATTGGACTCCCATATAGCAGGCATCGGTTCGAGTCCCGGACTCAGCGGCTTGAAAATCATGCTAGGAGCGTGTATGTGTATGCCCAAAGTCCTAGGAGGAGAATAGAGGAGAAGGGATTGCAGCGCGGCCATCCACCCCAGGGGTGGGGATGATTTCTCACTCTCTCTCTGTCTCTGTCTCTCTCCTGGTAGCACATGCACTCTATGGCAAAAACCTTAATAAAAGCCATCACTGGTGTCCCCTCCTCCGTCCTGCCTCCTGTTCTTCCACCCCACTCTGCATCCCACAGACCTTGCCTGAGCCATGGGCTGTGGAATAAGGAAGCTGAAACAGTTGTCACCCATCCATTTAACAAATCCCATTGACTTTTTAGTACTGGGAGTATGAATTTAAGTAGAAACAAATTTAACTGAAAACAATGTACCCATCTGCGTAGGATGAAAATTTAGTGACGAGTAATTCTTTTCACGCATGTACATGTGAAAATGAACAGCAGTTTCCTGCTCAGAGCAGGCAATGCCCAGACCAACAGCTCGAGGCAGCTGGCTTTACAAAAGAACGTGCCACCTGATCGTATGGGTGCTGCCTCTTCCCCGCCTCCCGGCCGAGGGACCAGAATACACGGGTCCCGGGTGCACGGCCCCGCTGGCGCATAATGGGTAAACAGAGCCAGACCACGACCGGAGCACGCTGGAGGGCCACACACACCAGGAAAGGGGCAAAGGTTTGGGAGAACTACCCTCGGATGACGCTACTCACTGTATAAATCTGTCTCATCTAGAATCTCGGATTTGATGATTTCTTCGATCACGTCTTCTAAGGTGACAATCCCCAGAACTTCATAGAACGGGTCCCCTTCTCCCTCATTGTTTACCCGCTGCACGATAGCCAGGTGTGATTTGCCTTTAAAGAAAAGAAAAGAAAGTTGAAGAGATCACCTTCTGGATTTCCGAAATAATGTTTTATACAAGATTATGATTAAAAAGCAGCAAACACAGACACTCAATAATCAAAGTTCACATTTTAGCGTTTAAAAATGGTATGGAAATATCAGAACCAAAAGGAGAAGAGAAGGGCAAGGGAGGGAAGTCAGAAGGGTGTGTCCCCACAGTCAGCGCCCCACATACCCTGCACCACGGTGAGCACTCCACACACCCACCCGGGTGAGCACCCCACACACCCCACCCCGGTGAGCACCCCACACACCCCACCCCGGTGAGCACCCCACACACCCTGCACCACGGTGAGCACCCCCACACGCCCGGCACCACAGTTAACACCCCCAAACGCCCTGTACCACAGTTAGCACCCCCACACACCCCACACCACGTGAGCAGCCCGACACGCCCCACACCACAGTTAGCACCCCCACACGCCCCACACCACAGTGAGCATGCCACACACCCCACACCACTGTGACCATCACGCCCCACCACAGTGAGCACCCCACATGCCCTACACCAGGGTGAGCACCCCACACGCCCCACTCCACGGTGAGCACCCCACATGTCCCATACCACGGTGAGCACCCCACACACCACGGTGAGCACCCCACACGCCCCGCACCACGGTGAGCACCCCACATGCCCCACACCACGGTGAGCACCCCACACGCCACACACCACGGTGAGCACCCCACACACCCCGCACCACGGTGAGCATCCCACATGCCCCGTACCATGGTGAGCACCCCACATGCCCCACACCACAGTTAGCACCCCACACGCCCCGCACCACTGTGAGCACCCACACAGGCCCCGCACCACGGTGAGCACCCTACACACCCCGCACCCCAGTTAGCATCCCACACGGCCTGCACCACAGTGAGCACCCCACATGCCCCGCACCACAGTGAGCACCCCACACACCCCGCACCACTGAGAGCACCCCACATACCCTGCACCTCTGTGAGCATCCCACATACCCCGCACCATGGTGAGCACCCCACACACCCTGCACCAGTTAGCACCCCACATGCCCCACGCCACAGTGAGCACCCCCACACACCCCACCACAGTGAGCACCCCCACATGTCCCACATCACAGTGAGCACCCCACACCATAGTGAGCACCCCCACACGCCCCACACCCCAGTGAGCACCCCACACACCCCATACCACGGTGAGCACCCCACACACCCCACCACAGTGAGCACCCCCTACACACATGCCACACCCTGGTCAGCACCCCCACACACACACAGCTGCACCCTGGTCAGCGCCCCCACACACGCCACACCTCAGTCAGCGCCCCCACGCACGCCGCATCAGCAGTTCTTTGCTTCTTCCTGGATTTGCTCTCTGGTAATGTCAGCTCTTCCTTCCTCACGTCTTTACCTATTTATTCATTTGCCAAAGGACACCTGTGCTCGCAGGAGAGCCGGTGAGAAATTAGCCGCATCCCCTCTCCTCCATTCTCCTCTGGGGACCCTGGGCATGCACGTGCGTACACCGGCAGGTTTTTTTAAGCCCCAGGTCCAGGACTTGAACCACAGAGTCTGCCATGTGGGATCCAGTACCACCTATTGGCTCTTTCTCACCTTTCAACAACTGCCCTTCGAGATAGCAGTTCTCCAAGTGTGGCCGGTGGGTCCCCAAGGATTCCCCAGAGCCTCCTAGAAGGTCAGGGAGGTCAAAGCATTTTCATGAACTACCCGGGTGTTACCAGCCTTTTCCACAGTGGTGCTATTTGAACTGACGGCGGAAAGGCACCTTCGCCCAGATCAACGCAGAGGAGCACCTGCACAGGGGCCGCTGTTCTCCACAGCACGCACGCACGCACCGGAGGAAGGCCAGTTTCTCTTAGGGATGTCTGGTCATGCCTACTCCACGGCCTGGTGCTTACGGCAGCTGGGTCCCACATGGCCAACTGTTCATTCAAGTCCCAGACCTGGCAGTTTGAGAAACACAATAGGAGCCTGTGTGCACATACCCCAAAACAATCCAGAGAGAAGGGAAGAGAAGAGATTGCAGTGTGGCCATCTCCCCTGGGGGTTGTCTTCTCACTTTCCCTCTGCCTGTCTCTCCAGCAAACACACATATCCTGGAGCAAATTATTAAAAAAGAAGAAAAAAAAAAAAAGGTCCTTGGCTGGACCAGCTCTGTGGCCTGATGGTTAAAGTGGATAGACCCCACATGATGACACAGTGGTTCAAGTCCCAGATCCCATGGTTTAAGAACATTCCAGGCATGTGTGTGTACATGCCCCAAATCTCCAAAGCAGGGAGAGATGGAGAAGGGACTGCATCATGACCTTCCCCCATGGCGGTGCTTTCTCCTCTCCCTCCGTGTCTCTTGCGTGAATATGTGCACCCTCTAGAAAAATAAAATAAAAAAAGAATGTGACCACGGTGCTGAAGCCACATGGGAAGGTCCCCGTGGCACTTCCCAAGGTCTCCCTGCACAGGCGGGGCAGGAGCCTGGCTGGCTGAGGCTGGGACTGGCCTGTGGAGGTGCCTGTCTTCGCCTTTTTCTCTCTCAAGGAAGAAATACATGGATAAGCTTTTTTAAAGTGTCTTTTCTGAAGCAGTAAAAATGAATTGTATTGAATTTTGACCTTGAATACGTATCTTTCAGTATTCTGTGTGCCTAAACAGGAAGTACCATGACATGCCTCTGTCACCTTTGGAGGTGTGATCGTTGTCGAGGACAGGCACTCGTGTGAGCGTCTGAATTACGAGTTACAGGAGCCACTTCCTTCACGGAACATGACTTTCACTTGAAGAAAATGACTGCCGAATGATGGTTATTTAGACTTGGGTGTCTGTTAGCTAGTTCCTCAAAAAATGTACAAAAGGAACCTGTCGTGTCAGGGAGGATGGGCGGTGTTTGCTGCCTATGATAAAAGCGGAGCTTTCAGTGGAAAGTTAGAATTCGGGGAGGGACTAGCATTGGCGTAATGGCTATGTCGCTCGACTCCCACGTAGTCGACCATGGTTTGAGTCCCGGGCCTGGTGGCTTAAACTCACGCCGGGCGCATGTGTGTACATGCCCAAGATCCCGAGAGGAGAATGGAGGAGAAGGGATTGTGGCGTGGCCATCCCCCCGGGGGATGATTTCTCACTTTCTGTCTTTCTCTGTCTGTCTGGTGAGCCCATGTGCCTTATAGCAAAAACCTCAAAAAAAAAAAAAAAAAAAAAAAAAAAAAAAAAGAATTTGAGGGAACTCGTCTCCACCACTATGACCTTGAGAGCTGCTCGATAGTTGAAGACGTTCCTGATGAGATGGATGCCGACTCCAAGAAACGTGCTCTTTCAAGTACTGGGCGATACCTCGTGCACCACTCAGGGACCAACACTGCGCAAACACCTAGCGCAATGCGGTATGAAATCACACACGGGGAGCCAACCTATTCAAGTACAAGACACGGGAGGCGTGTGTGGGGAGTTCTCTCTCTCTCTCTCTCTCTCATCTATATATATATATGTAAAATTCCGGATTCTCCTGTAAGATTTCACACCAAAGGATTTTAAAGTAGCAGAGTGGCCAAAGTCTACCGAGTGTCAGAATTAACTTCTTGGAATTAACCTTCAAGAAGGTATTTACAAGTTTGTGCGTAGTTTCAAAGCAGCATATCAGAGATGGTTCAGAAACGCTATTAAAATATCCCCTCACTTTTCCCAACACACGAGTGTGCAAAACCCGATTTCCTTCCTGTACGGTAACTTAAACAGAATGTTGCGCGGGAAATGGTGAGGACGCCTGCTGCCTTCATTAGCTATGTCACAGCACCGAGCACAAAGAAAACAGCAACACTCTCTTTGTTTGGGAAAATATAGCTCTTTTTAATAAAAATGTTATTTATGCTAACATGTAATGAATTATTATGTCCTTTAACAATATTTCAAATTTGGGACCAGCAGTTAGCATAATGGCTACGTCGCTGGACTCCCACATAGTCAACCACAGTTCGCGTCCCGGACCCAGTGGCTTAAACTCACGCCGGGCGCATGTGCGTGCGTGCCCAAGATCCCGAGAGGAGAATGGAGGAGAAGGGATTGTGGCAGGGCCATCCCCCCGGGGGAGGATTTCTTGCGTTCTGTCTCTCTGTCTCTCTCTGTCTGTCTGGCAAGCACACGAGCCCTATAGCAAAAAAAAAAAAAAAAACTCTTTAAAAAAAATTTTTTTCAAATTTCTTGGGGCCAGCAGGTGGCATGGTAGTTAAGGTGTTGGACTCTCACATGGCCGATGCTTGAAAATCACCCTGGGTGCGTGTGTGTGCGCGCCCAAAATCCTGAGAGGAGAATGGAGGAGAAGGGATTGTGGCAGGGCCATCCCCCCGGGGGTGATTTTTCACCTTCCCTTTCTGTCTCTTTGGCAAGCATATGTACCCTATGGAAAAATAAGTAAACTTCTCAGTTTTAATTCAAAGGCAGGAAATATCATAATTTCCAAAACACATAAGTGAAGTTCAAAGGTCCTTAATAATTAAGAGTTTAAAGGGATCTTAGGTTAAAAAAAAAGTTTACGACCCGCTGCATTAGGGAACAAGGCAGATGGCGAGGGAAGAATAGGAGCTCTGAAATCAAACAGTCCTGGATTCGAACCCCAGCCCTGGCCCCTGTTAGCCAGGCCTAGCCTTCATCCTATGTGACCAGGGGTGAATGATGGAGCTTCGGAGCATGAGTCTCCTCATCTCTAAATTCTGGCTCGCGGTCACGGCCGCTGCATGGGGATGTCATGACAATCAGAGATGACCTTGGGGCCTAGCAGCGCCAGTGCCTGGGAGCCACCAGGTGGTCTGTAAGTGGCAGCTGATTATTTTATTGTTTTCCCTCCATCCTAAGACACCACTAAGCTTATTCTGAGCTTAGAGTGTGTGTGTGTGTGGGGGGGAGACAGTACATGAAATCAGAAAGATCTTTTAAACGATAAATGCATCTCTCCCACTCCAATATTGTTTTT